ATATGATTGATTGATAATAAGAGTCAAATAAACTGATAGACTAATCAAATGTAGAATAATTGTGTGAAGTGTCTCAACATTTATTCACTTGTATTGGTTCACAACAACAACACTACAATCAAAACAAATCTTTATTTTTTCAGATGTTTTGAGACTACAATTCAAGAATTGAGTCAATAAATGATGATTTGTTGAGAATGTGTTATAGATTTTTTACATTTAATATAAGTTTGTATGGGATATGACTGTATGTATGTAAGGATGGTATGGTTGACGTGTGTGTAAGCATACTGTGAAGATTAACTGTCACATCCAATATATTTTCTATGTGTGTCAGCTATAGTCATATTGCAATATCATGTGCTCTAATCGTGTAGTTTACAGTTATTGTCACTAAGTTATTGGTTTTATTTAAAATTTTTAATATATTTGCTTATATAAAGTCCGGTTTACAACAGTTGAATAAATTAATTTGAATTCAAATCGATTGAAAGCAAACATTTGAGTACAAACTTCATAGCAATCGTGTATTTCTCTAACTAACAAATCTTTATATAAATACAGTATGTTATGCTCTCATACAGTATATGCCAATCATATAATACATGATATGATTGAAGCAAACATTAATTTCAATAATATTATAGTTCTATAAATACATTGTATCTATAATTCTATATTATATTACTGTAATATATCTATTCATTATATTCTGTATCCATTTCTATCATTTCACTACACATTAATGAATAATTTGTTAAATAGTCTAATAGTAATAAATAATTTTAGATTTTTCTATTAATACTACATTAATATTGTATGTTTTGAATGATTAATGTAAGTTATTTAAATTGTTAAGTATAATATAAATGCTTTTACACTCCAATTTCAAATAAATTACTATTTTATTAATTTTTCTAGTAATAAAACTAATTACAAAAAATTATAGGTTTAATAAAAATCAAATCAACATAAATATATTATGTTATATATATATATATGTTTTTAATAACAGTATATTTACTAAATATTATTATAAAATAATTTTAAATAAAAATTTCATGTTTATAAATACAAATATTTATTACTTTAAAATATTTAATATAAATATGTTTTTTCAATTTTTTAACAATTATATTTTATTTAATTAGAATTTTCTTAATGAAGGTATTAAATAACGTTGTTATACTAATTTACAATAATAACTAAAATAATTATTTATTTTAATAATATTTACATATCATTTTTGTTAAAAGCTTATATTAAATTACCAAAATTATAAAAACAGTATAAACTATTGAATATCAAAAATTATTTTATGAATTCATAGTAAATAATAATAATAATTTATATGATATTATACACTTTAAAATTTTATTCACGTATCATATTCAGCTTATTTGTTTGTCTACCAATAAACGTGTTTTATATAAGACTATTAGTGCTTGTGTTAAATAGTATTTAAACTTTAAAGATTCAAAATCACGAACAAAGTATTCTAACTCAGGGAGACTCGAACTCACAACCCTCCGGTCACGACTAGTGAACGACTCCTACATGAACTATTGAATAGGATACTAGGAACTAGGTAAAATAAGTTTGTTTTGGTAATTTATGTATAAATTATTTAATATTATAAAAATCAGTATAGATTTTTAGCCAAAAATGTTTTATTCTGCAAACATAACTAACTTACATCAAGAAAATATATGTATATATTGTATATTTAATTAATTAAAATAATATTCTGTAAAACTTGTATATTCTTAATAAAAAGTTTATTTTTTTACTTTTAATTGTATTATAAGAAAAAACACAAAAACAATATTTTTATATACTTGACTCGTATTTATCATTGAGATGTGAATCGCCGAAATCCTGGTGTCTGTATGAATCTTATTAGTAATTATAAATCAAATATAATTTTATCAATTACTACAAAATCTGACATTTGCGCAAATATTACACTTTATGAACTATAGTTTTTTAAAAAGTTAAATAGGTTTTAATAATTTAGTCTTATTATTACAACAGAGTAATTACAATAATTTACAAAAATATACAAAATTTTATTATTCTAAAAAAAATTCCATCAGATTAACCATATTATAAAAGGCAATAAATGTTGCCAAATATTTAGTTATTTTAAAAATTATCAAATATTAAATGAGAAAATAGATTAGAAAATATTGTTTCAAACATACTGTATATAAACAGAGAAGTTAGAGAAGTAACAAAAGTTAATGCATTTGTTGTCTTGTATTATATATTTAGTCTTCAGATTTCATTCGGATCTATGTTTTATTTAATAGATGTATTCATTTTGATGGCAAACCATTATGTTACCTCTCTCTCTCTCTCTCTCTCTCTCTCTCTCTCTCTCTCTCTCTCTCTCTCTCTCTCTCTCTCTCTCTCTCTCTCTCAATACTGATATAAACATTAAACATTATCTCTAAAATAATGGCAATAATTTGATGAATTGCTGAATACTCCATTGAGATTGAAATGTATTTCTTGCATAATAAAAGCTTTTATCAATTTATTTGTATATAACAATCATATATTAAAAACTAATATGAAAATGTTTGTCTCAAACAATGTATGTTATTATCTTATCAAATATTTGTTAGTAATTTAATAAAATTATTTTTAAGGTATTTATAATTTGATTTCATAGTTAAGATTTTATTTATGAATCGGGAAAAACTAATTTTGTGACTATTTCTTAATTTCATATAAATATATTAAAGCAGAATATAAATGAATATTTTATTAAAGCTTTTCTATGAGTTTCAAGATTTTCATTTGAGAAAAATATTTTTGAAGAACACTTGAGAGCAAAAAGAGATTGAAAACTAATTTCATGTTTCAGTGACACAAATACTGTTTTCATTATATATTTATACAATAAACTCAATTGCATTATATTTATACGATATATATATACTGTATTCTGTATAATATGATACAACAATATACTATACACTATTGACTACCCGTTCAATAAACTGTAACCAACTTTACTGATAATATTGACATAAAATAGCAAAATTGAGTGCTTAAGCATAAAAATACATTTTGAATAAATTATTGAATAAATTCTATTAATTATTAAATTAAAAACATTTTTAACTATTTATTTAAAATAAACTAAATTTTAATAATAACTCAGGAATAACTCTAATTCAGGTATATTTATATAAATAAGTTATACAATATTTTAATTATCTATATTCATTTATGGCTGTCAAACATTAAATAGAGTTTAGGATACTCAAGCATTTGAATATAAACACAATAAAATATAAAATTATACTGGATCATATTATAATAATTTTAAGAGTTAATAACTTTTCAAAATAAGGTTTCGATACACAAACTGGCATTTGATATATATATATATATATATATATAATATCTAAATACAATAGTAGTCGTTGTAGTTATATCTAAATAAAATTGTAAAACACAATTTGATATAATTTTAAACCATAATATATAAATTTATATACAGGTATCATTAACAATTAGAGAATAATTTATTCTCTACTACTACTACAATATTTAAGCTATAAATTGCATTATATTTTATTAACGATTAGTCCATAAAAAATATTTTGAGTAGCATTTTCTTTTTATTATTGATTATGACTTTATAAAGATATACTCAAATAAATTATATAAATGATATTTTTTATTACAACAAAAGCTGTTCTCAATTGTTGAACATTTTATATGAAAATAAATCATCATTTGTTTGTTTATTTATAAGCAGTTAATGAAGACAACAACAAAATTAAACACTAATCGCCTCTCCATTAGTTTCAATTTATACACTATTTATAGTAAAGATATACAATAAAAAATACAAATAATACTAATTTAGGAATTTTAAGACTTTATGTATCATTAGTTATACTTAATGTGAAATCATACCAATGAATGAATGTTAAGTATATAAATAATTGTATTTCTTATTTAGTTGTATATAATTTTCAGAGAATATACAGTAAATTCAAAAATAACTTTAAAAATTACAATAATTTATAAAATAATTTTAATAAAAATCAATAATTTTGATCTTTATTATTAGTGCCGATATCAAACATCTAACGGTAAGATTATCTCATATATTAAATATTATAAATTCTAAAACTACGATAAGTATGTCAAAAGTTATAGTCAGTAAAAAAATATTTATTGGTTTAGTTTAGTTATTTGACTGCAATGTGAGAGTTATAATTAAAATATGTGAATAATTCAATTATTTATTTACTCTTAAATATTGTGTAATTTATATATAACGTATATGGATAACCATGATATGATATAATTATGCTAATCATATATTTTATCTATTGTTTAAATTTTAAATGATTCCTTAAATAATGCATTTTTATAATATGATTGATTTTCATTCAATATTATGTTCATCGTATAAAATGTTTAATCTATTATAATCTAAACGATATCTCTATTCAAGCAAAAAATGATTTGTAAATTAACTCAATAATGAAATGCTTTATAAACTTTATATATTAATTTTTAATTTATTCATTTAAATAATAAAACATTATAATAATTAAGTTAAATAAATTAATTTTTTATTGATAATAATTTATATTGTAAATTATTTTTAAAAATGTTACTACTAAATATTTTATTGTATATTATATATTATGTAAATAACATCATAGACAATTATTATAAACTAAAATAGAAAATTGATTGATTTATAACTTAATTTTGTTAATTTAATTTATATATAACATATATTATATTACAGTATACAACATAAGATATAAATAATTTTATAATAATAATAAATATAAATTAAAAAATAAACTTCATTTGCAATGAATATTCAAAGATATCTTATATATTAAACAAAGAATTTAATAAATAAATATTTATAACAAGTGTTGGCATTTGATATGAGAATTATGTGTTTAATAAAATGCGAAACAAATGAATAGTAAAATATGACTATTACTGCATACCTGTCCCCAGTAGTGGTCACAATCTTTAAAGTCCTGAACGCTTTGATCCACTTATTCTTCGAAGTCATTACTCTTTTATCAAATCGTCTTTCATTAAAATCCATTATTTTGTATAAAATTTTATAAAAATCAAGAATTTATGGACAAACAGACAGACAGAAAGAAATTGTTAAAACATATAAAAAGAAATGAAATTATGATATTTTGGTGTTTGGCGACAGCTTTTAATATTAAATACTTATAATTCAAGTTTTATGCGAATAATTATCGATAGAAAATATTATTCTATTATATATCAACTTTTTTTTGCCGATAATCTAAATATTATATATATATATATATATTGCGTTGATATAGTGGTATACAATCAGTATATGTTATGTTATATACTATATAAATGTGTTAAACATAAGTAGCAAAAGGTCTCAAAGTGTTTGTACAATACGTGTGTCTCTCATGTGTTTCACTGATCGCACAAATTCTGTGTAAAACTTGAGCTCAATATTAAGCAAACTCTGTATTTGTTAACAACTATTATAACACTATTGACATCTCGTGTCTAAACATTAAGTGTTTGTATCGATTCATTTAATACAAGTGTTGAGTTATTGGACTAACTTTAGCACCGATTCTGTGTGTGTGTCAGAGAGAGAGAGAGAGAGAGAGAGAGGAGAGAGAGAGTCGTATAGAGAGAAAGAGAGTCAATGAGAGAGCTATAGAATAGTATTAGAAAGTGTGAGAGAGTTTTAATAAGAGTGGAGAGAGAGAGAGAAAAAAAGAAAAACAATCATTGGATGTGTTGTATGAATGGATGGATCGCCACTTGACGTCTGCGCCTAACTTCGGACGGCTTTACTGAGTCTCGCATCACATCTGAAACTATTTCTTAATTTTCTGATCAATGATTGCATTAATAAGTTAAAGAAAGTCCGCAATGTCTTCATCGGAAAAGAGCGCATCAATTGTATCCAAAGACAGGACTCGAATGATAATCTCAGCCATTGATTGCCTCAAAGGACGCAAAGCACGACCCGATGAGACAAAGATTTGTAATTTTGTTGAGAAGCGCTTCGGAGTCAACAAACAAGAAATTATTGCCGCAATCAAAGATGCGGTGATCGAGGGATCGGTTCTTAAAGTTAAATACAAGGATTCTGTCAGTTATCGAAATCCCTTAAAGTTTAACCAAAAAATGTCAAATCATATCATGTCTTCAACGGACACTATTTGGAACATTAGTCCGCAAACTATGAAACGATTCGTAAGAGAGTTGCGTGTATTGTGTCGTCAGAGACGCGATGGCGTCACAAGACATGAGATTATCGAGTCTTTGAAGAAGAACTGCCACTTCAAAGATCACAACGAGTCTCTTGTCGACAGACTTTTGTGTCGATCTATTCAAACAGGTATTCATTGCCTTTGCTTTTGCTAAATAGCGCGCAAATTGATCCAATTGTTTATTACAGGAACCATAAAACAACTTTCTTCTGGATATTATATAGTTATGTTTGGTAAGCGCTTTATTGGGTCTAAAAGGCGACCGCAACAGTGCATTGCATCGGATAAAGTTTTGAACAAAAACAATATCAATGACAAAAGTGATTGCAATAAAAGTACCATTGATTGCGATTGTTTATTATTATTATAAGTAATATTATAACAATTAATGATTTATTAATTAATATATAGATGTTAATGTGGCAAAAGAATTATTGTTAACTGATCCATTGTCGCCCAACCGTAAAAAAGCAGTACCAGTAATGACACGGGAGAGACCAGTCAGCAAACGAAAGGTAATGAGTTGGTTGTGTTAACACATATGATATTAGATTTAACTAAAGATATTAATAAATTGATTAGAAATTTAAGAAATCTTTGGGACCAGATTTTATAGTGTCTTCTGAAAAGAGTTCACCACATATGAGGGATAGCTTTGAACCGAAGTGTGATTTCTGTCACTTAAAAACTAAATTTACAAAACGCGGCGAAAATGAAGAATCGCTCACTTGTAAGGACTGTAGCGCTAGAGGTATTGAAACTGATTTGTTTAATTATAAAATATCTAATATGTGTTTTATATTAAACATCACTTAAAGCACATCCAAGTTGTATGGGATATAGCAGAGAGTTAGCTGAGAGATCGAGTCTGAGTCCGTGGCAATGCATGGACTGTAAGACGTGTAACATATGTCACGATTCCAGAGACGGTGTAAGTCTTTGTTTATATTTATCTTTGTTTATAATTATTACCAATCATTTGAATCAATTTCAGGAGAATATGTTAGTCTGTGATTTCTGTGACAAAGGATTTCATATGAATTGTCACATTCCGATGGTTCAACTCAAGCCAATTGGTCTCTTGTTTGACCATTATTTCGCTTATTTATTAAATAATAGCTAATTATTTAAATTTATAAACAATTTATGTTTTATTGTTTTTATCTGAAGGCAAATGGGAGTGTAATGATTGCAATACAAACAAAAGCAGTTCAAAAACCTATCAAAATAATGATAATAATAAATCCAACGAAGAAACTGATACTAAGAGGGCTCGAGTTATATACAAAAGAAATTCAGAGACCTCTTGTTCTTCATCGAGCTTTGTCTCCAATTCCAAAGAAAAGTAATTGATTTAATTATCAAAACATTTCATATAAAGCCATTAATCCAATGTTTTTCAGTTACAGCAATGGTTATCCTGATATCATACCTAATCCGCAGAAATGGTCAGCTGATGAAGTCTCACAATTTATATGTGATATCGGTTTCCCCGAACAGTCAATACTGTTCAAAGAACAGGAAATCGATGGCACATCTCTATTGTTGTTAAGACGATCGGATGTATTAACCGGTTTTCACATGAAGTTGGGTCCGGCGCTCAAAATTTATTCGCATATAATGCGTCTCCAAAAAAATGACTGATTTTTGACTTAAAGTCTTTTGTTTTTTTAATTATATAATTTGTTTGTCTTTCCAGTACTATATTCCAGTAGTCAATCAATTGCTGTGTTATTTATTACATAATTGTAATATAAAACCCGTTTAATATAACAGATATTAAAGATTTGTATAACAAAAGTATAAAATTATTCATTATTTTAAATGCAATAACATTAAGGCCGGAGTTTGTAAATATTTTTTCCAAAGAGACGAAAATCGACAGATTGTCGCGCCATCGATGACCCGATGATCAGCCCTCCAGACAACAGTTAATGTGTGTGCTTTCACTATAGTATTGCCATCGTTGCCAAACTTTGGTACAACTTTAATGCCTCCGAGAGCACCGATCTTAACAATTAGATTATTTAGTGTTAGTTTAAATTATATTATCTATTATCACATTATTATACCGCCACTTCTGGTGGTAAAATGATAGGTATACCAAAAAGTCCTCCGATCTGTTTAATTGATTAGTTTAATAATTAATAAATCATTATTTGTATATTTTGATAATAACTTACGGATCCAATATTAGAAAGACTGAAAGTGCCTTTTGATAGATCTTCAGTTGACAACTGGTTATTAGTTCCGAGTTCTTGTAAACGATTTAACTCTTCTGCGATTTCCAAGATGGTTAAGTTCTCAACATTTTTAACATTTGGTACAACCAATCCTTGTTTGGTATCCATTGCAATACCAATATTATGATTAGCTTTATAAGTAATATTTTCACATTTGTCATCAACTGATGAGTTAAGAATAGGAAATTCATTCAAAGCCATTGAAGTGGCTTTTATGAAGAATGGCATATAAGATAATGAAATGGATCTATCTTTTGCCATTTGTTTAATCTTATTTCTCAATTCAACCAATTGGGTGATATCAATATCATCACTTAAACCCAAGTGTGGTATATTCAACGATTGAGTCATAGTCTTTGTCATTGCTTTTTGAATGCCTTTAATCGGTTCGGTTTTATCAGCAAAAACTTTAGACGTTTCTCTGACTTTAGTTTTAGGATTTAGTTTGGATGGCATTTCAGTTTTTGTTTCACTTATTTTATTGTCAATACTTTTAGTTGGTTTTGTTTCGACACTTTGTTTGCTGAGATTCTCGATATGATTGATAACATCTTCCTTAAGAATGCGACCATCTTTTCCGGTGCCCTTCAATGCCTTTAGTTTAATATTATGTTCGGCGGCCAGTCGTCTAACGGCAGGTGTAGTCATCACTTTATCTGTTGTTTGAAAATTGTTATCTTCGGTAGCATTCAGTAAAATCTTAGATGACTTATCCGATTCTTCTTCTAAAATAATGTCCATTTGTTCGTCTGATAAAATTATAATTATAAGTAATTATCAAAATAACTAACAAAGTAATCAAACCATTAGTGGATTCAATTTGAATATCGACCAGAGGTTTACCAACTTTGGCGATGTCATCGATTTGATAGTGAATATGTCTAATGACTCCATCATAACGACTGGTGATAGTAACAGACGCCTTATCGCTCTGTACTTCACATATACTGTCAAACTGTCTGACATTATCGCCGACATTAACGTACCACTCTTTGATCGTCACTTCGCCGATACCCTCACCGATATCTGACAGAAGAAACGGAACTACTTCTGATGCAAATCGATCTGAAAATTAAAAAATGAGTACAAATATTGGTTAAAATCTATATATAGATACTAACGAAAACTTTGATGAAACAAATGTTTTGTTAAATGTGTTACATCTGATCCCTTGACAACACTTGTTTGCAATCTATTAAATTGACTCACATTTCGATTACATATAAAACTATTGTTAGCTAACACTCTATTGTGAAGTACAAGAAGTTTACAAGAGTTTTCAAATGAAGACAAAGTTAGTCTTCGAGTGCAAAGCCGTCTACAAAATGCCATTTCGGATCAATTTTGATGGTTTCATATAAATAGATATAAAAAACGATAAACATTTGCTTTCAATCAATCATTTCAATGATTTTCATTTATTGAAAACAATTTTTTTTAACAAAAACTGTTTAGTAATTAGTTGTCTATAAATCAGATATTTAGCACACATTCACTGTATTAATGTCTCATTTTGACGTCACTATGCCTTCAATGGTATGAAAAAACATTAGAAATTGATTTAACTGTTTCTTGTATTAATTGAATGATTCAATTGAAGACAATTTGATACAAAATGCCACTAAATTATTATTATTTATATTATCATATATTTTGATTGTCAATTAACAGGTCATATAGTAGTGGTCATCCATAATATAAATATCAAATATCAAGGTCTCTATCTCTACATTACAAGGTCTGTCATACTTTTACAGTGAACCCCAAACTTGTTTCTAATATCAAAACTTGTGATCAAATATATAATAACAGATTTATTAAATTAAATCAATGAAATAATTATAATTTATGTTATATACACTTATATTTGAATTTTATTCATCAATATTATTATGATTTTAATATCGAATTTGAAATAATTTTTTTTACATTCAAACAAATTATAATTTTCTACAATATTTATAACAAAACAATTTATTAATATACAAATAATTCGTATTTAAGTCAAGAAATGATAGTTAATAACAATTACTATATGTATATTATATATATATAATTAATAATAATAATTCACATGAGATACAATAGCATTTTGTTGCCAAATTTTAATGTTAATAAATAAACAAATAGCACATGTGTTGACATAATTAATTAAACTATTTTAAATCATCGTTCAATTATCATACAGTATCTACTTTTAAACAAATGTATGATAAAACTTAATAGTTTGTTAAAAATATATATAAATTGAATAATAATTGTATATGATATAATCAATATTATTAAATTAAATTAATGTACCATCAATTAAAATAATTTACAAATAATATTAATAAATCAAATATCATATATATATATATATATATATATATTTAAAAACGCTAAAATAGTTAATTTAGTAAATAAACTTTATACACATATATTTCTTTAAAATATTAAATGTAAATCGATGTTCATTTTATATTATAAGTAATTACAAACAATTAATGCAATAGATAACATTATAACTCGTATGAATTAAGTAAAATAAGTTGGTTTATAAATTTATGTATTATATAATACAACTAAAAATTTAGGATAACAGATATTTATAGTGTTTTATGGTTTCACCGGTTATAATCAATAATATTGCTAAATAACAAATTGTTTTAGAGAACAATGTTTTATGAAATATAACAAAATTTCTCACAATATGTCTATATATACAGTATAATGTATACAATCATTTAAGTGAAATCAAACACCAATAGCTTAAATACTAATTATTTAATATAAAAATTAATTAAATAGTAGCTGAAAGTCAAACCAGTTATCATTTGTTAAAATTGCTTTTCGATGAAGTGCTCAATGATTTAGATGTCAGACGATTTGATGTCTTCTTTTTGTCAGAAGATGTCTGTTTAAAGACATTTTTAGTATTAGATGAGATACTTGTAGTGGTTGAAGATGTTTTGCCAGTCTTTGTGCTAATCACTGAACTGCAACTACTATTTGCAGTACTACTAGTGCTCAAACTGGAGTTGTGTTTGACTTGTTGTACCTCAGATACGACAATATTTGACTTATTTAATGATTCATGTCTTTGAATACATGTGTTTCGCAAGTCCGACACTGAACTGTCACTTTGCTTTAGTTTAAAAGATGACTGTTTTGGTGATATTTGACAACAACCCGGTTGTTCACATTTTTCTAATTTATTTATGTTAGTCATTGAGAGATTGCTTTGCTTTTTAATTGATTCCATCATTATCTTAGTTGTTGAGGGCGGACATGAAGCCAATGCCAGTGGAGAACTGGTTAACGAATCTCTCTTCAATTTGACGACATATGAACCGTTATTATCAGATGAGGTATTTATTAATTCTGGAGAAGCACTTCGTTGTAATGAATGCATTCCATCGCCAGCATTGGTTCGCATCGTATCGCTTGGAGTCAAGAGATTATTAGTAATTGGCAACAAATTTGACGTTAATTTGACTCCCGAAGAGTTCTTTTGAAGTACATATGTTTGTGTGATTTGTGAGTTACCAATTTGGTGATGAACAGGGAATGCAAGCGGAGATGGAGACCGTGAGGTCGGTGATGTGGCCTGAAGTGTATTGACAGTGGGAGACACACCTTGAGTTCGGGCCAAAGGAGAGAGAGGAATGTGTCCGCAGGACTTGCGTCGAGGAGATCGAAATGTTTGAATGAGTTTATGTTTGAGACCGTGAAGACTAGAAGGTCTGGTATTACTGGCGGGAGAGTTGGGAGCGGAATTAGTTGGGGAACTGTCAACTGATGAATTGCCAGTTGTATTGGATGAATCAGACTGAGAACATGTGGTAAATCGATAGGCAGGGGTTGAGACGGTTGAAGTGGTTGTTGGTGTACTGGTAACGGGACTATCGATTGACATATTAGCTAATGTTTTGTGTAATGATTGACAGCTTCGACTCGGAGTTATTTGCTGCGCTCCCAATGGCACAGCAGGTGGTGTAAGTGGTGTCAACTGCGGCGATCCACCCGAAGTATTAATAACTAATTGATTCATTTCAACACTGGCTCTCTTAGAGCTAAGTCTTCTAAATAAAGAAGATCGACGTCTTTTATCAGAATCACTTCGTTTAACGTGATTTGATTTGACATTCTTGTGATGTTTATTAGCGCTGACCGGTCTTCGGGCCATTTTGCTTGTATGTGGATTTCGTTTGCGACCATTAGCTTTGATACTCGTGTTCTCCAACGGTGTCGTTCTTATATTGACTTTATCTCCACCCGATAAAACCAATTGTAAAACTTGTGGATGGAGTAAACCAGTGATGGGCTCACCATTGATATGAGTTATAAGATCGCCAGGTCTTAAGCCGGCTTCAAAAGCTGGGCTATTATTTTCAACGGCTAATACTAAATGATTGACTATAAAATAATCAGATTCTCCATAATATACTCGAATAGCTTTAAGAGTAAACCCGAAACCTCGGGGTCCTTTACGCAATATTATCGGTGGCTTAAGTTGAGCCGCTAATGAACTAAGTTCTCGATTTGGTGAGGCATCGCGTGAACTGGTAGTCGATCCACCAGACGATGTAGCGGCCAAAGAATTGATGCGCGCAACTGATGTGTCGTCAGATGATATGATTAGCGATAAGCCAGAAGCTGAGGCAGACTTGATGACTGCTCTGGACCGCGTTGGTTGTTTCAATGGAGATACAGTAGGAATCGACATTTTAGTTGATACCGATTGTCCCGACTGTGGATTGTATGGTACGTCAGATTTTCTTCTGTAAATATTCTTCTCATCACTTGATGTGAGACATTCATCGAGTGGCGTCAACTCTTTGATTAGTGATGGCAAAACATTGGTGTCTTCATATAATGCTGACGTATCGTCAACACTGAATGAAAACTTCGGTAACGAGTCTTTTGCTATACTCAATGGCTTTCGTTTTCGTTGAGTTTGTGGAGAAAAGTCTTCTGATTCCGTTTGTGATGAATCCCGTGAATCGAGAGTGCTTTGAGTTTTATGTTTATAAAATTTAACACTTCCTATCCTAAGACTCGATCCTTCAATCATCAATTGTTCATCAGTTATACTCATAGATCTAGAAATAGCTGAATCAGATTTAGTAGAACTGGCCCGAGGTTTGCAAACACTTGTAATTTCCTCTTTAAGAGATGTTGAAGAGGTTGACAATCGAAGTTTATTTTCTTGTTCTAAAATATTGTCAACTCTTGAACATACTTTACGATATCTGGGAGAACATGAAGAAAAGCTTCCAAATAAAGAGCTATCATCAGTGTCTTCCATGTCTTCAGAATCAGCACATTCGTGGTTATAACGTTCTGCGCGACTATCAAAATAACTGGTATCATCTTCTCCATCAAGTTGTGGTACAAATTCTGCTTTTTGTCGAAGTAATGCTTCCCAATTAATTCCGTCAAAAAATGAATGTTCTTTGACTTCATGAGCTCCACCAGCGCCTAACCTATCAATAGGATTGTGTTGCAAAAGTTGATTTATAATATCTTTGGAATCATCATTCATAGACCAATCATCTTCATCAGGCCATTCAATCTCGTCATTGATGACGTGTGCAAATAACTCTTCAGGTGTATCACCAAAGAAAGGGACACAACCAATGAGAAACTCATAAAGTATGACACCTAACGACCACCAGTCAACTGTACGACCGTATCCTTGTCTGAGAATCACTTCGGGTGCCAAATATTCAGGAGTTCCAAAAACTTGTTTATCTGTAAATTGTTTGGTCTCCCGATCGAGATATCCTTCAGACAAACTTGTGGCCAAATTCATTAAACCCATTTTGGATAATCCAAAGTCAGTTAACTTTATGTGACCCAAAGCGGTTATTAATAGATTATCCGGTTTCAAGTCTCTGTGAACAATACCAAAGCTGTGAAGATATTCAACAGCTAATACAGTCTCTGCAAAGTAAAGACGAGCCAAATCAAGAGGAAATGGTCCCATATTTTTGAGAAGAGTGGCACAATCGCCGCCCTCCACGTACTCCATAACCAAACATAAGTAGCGTTTAGTTTCAAAACTACAGAACATTGAAACTACAAATGGATTATCAGTAAAACTCATGATATCTCGTTCAGCAAATACTTGTTCCACTTGATTACGTAAAAGTAGATTCTGTTTATTAATCTTTTTCATAGCAAACCTTTGTCTCATTTGTTTATGTCTAACTAGATGTACGGCACCGTAAGCACCGTTACTAATCAATTTGATTGTCTCGTAGTCATCCTCTGAGGGGGGTTTTGTCACTTCAGCACTCTTTTCAGTTGACTCTATATCTACTTCGTTGATATCTTTTGTTTCTAAATCTCCCATATCTGGGGAAAGGTCTGCTAATGGATCTCTATTGAGACCTAACTTATTGATAATATATTGCGGAACAGAAACTTTTATGCCTTGAGCTGACTTTGCCTGTCCCTCAGCGGCCTCTAATAAACGATAAAATTCTTCTGGATCAAATTCAAGACATTCAAGTAGTCGCGCGGGACGGGAGACAATGATTAGAAATCTCTTAACGAGTAAACATAATTGATTTGCTGCTATCTGTGACTTTTCGCGACACTATAGCAATAAATTTAATAATAATAATAATATAAACAAATTCTTGCAAAATATTAGTAATTAATACAAACCTCAACTAAAAGTTTCTCTAAATTTTCAGACAATTCACAAAAGTATTGAGATGTGATGAGCTTATCTTTTGACTTTTCAAGACAATCTTTAGCCAATCCTATTACCTGATGGTGAGCAAAGCGGAACACTGCATCAGATGCTGCTGACGACTCGATATCATCGATATTCATCTGATCCGCAATAAATTTAGATAATTTTTCTTCCATTTGTTGAGTAGCCTTTGGAAATCTTTCTTTATATAGATTATTCATTAAAATCCTTTCGTTGTCAGTACTGGGAGATCGAACAGGACTACTGAGACTACGAGAACGAGGCCTAACCATTGGTGAGAGAGATCGTATCTCATCGTCATATCCAGTATTGCTATCATTACTACTGAAATGTTGAGCCGTTTCTAAATTTAGTATCTTATGGTGATGTGTATGCTGTAGAAGATTATGGTTAGTGTGATGACAACAGTGATGTAAATGATGAGTATGTGTTACAGGTGTGTGTGCGGACTCTTCATGAGATAAATGGCACAATTGGTGTAGTTTTTCTTGTGAAGAGCACTGAGACTTAATATTTTAATAAAATAATAAAAAATAATAAGATATAATAAAAATTGAAAAATTATTGATAGCTTACATTAGAACTATTTGGTGTATTAGTGCCGTAACCCGATGACGACGGCAATGAAGCCACTGACCAACGGCGTCCTTCAATCTTCCTGTTGGCCGTAAACACAAAGTGTGTCGACGGAGACATATTCCGCGGACTGTCTACTGGACTGCCTTTTAGTATCAAAACATATATCAATCAAATCAATTGTCATTATATTTCTAAATGAATCAATTGATTACTTTGTGGTAATGGAGATCTGGGTAGTGTTGGTGATGTAATCGGGATGAGGCTTTTACGGGCTGCACATCGACTATAAAATAATTACATTAATATAATCAATAAAATAAATAAATTATATTATTTAATACTTACTGTGCTTTTCTTGTTGTGTTTGCCTCCTTCTGTCATAAGACAAAACATTTAATTCATTACTTAATTATAAATAAAGAGCAATATATATATATATATATATAAAATGTCAAAAAGCATTTTAAATGATTATTTAAGTGTTTAAATTTGTCATTTCAAGCATAACTATTATTTGAAAAAAGCACTGAATGTAAAATTAGCAAACTTTTAGCAAATAAAAAGTCAAAAACTCATTTGCGATTTGCTTTTACATTTGGCATCGTCTCTGCTTTGCTCTAATACTTTGTCTATTGATTATTGATTACACATTCAACTACTCTATAAAACAATTTCAATGTCAATCTATTTGTTGCATCTTTAAGATAATAATTATCATTTTGTAAGCAAAACATAAAAAACATAAAAAATCATTTATTATTAATGGTGTTACTATCAATTGTTAAATAGAGTATATAGCTTAACATTGTTATGATAAACATTTACAATTTATTTATATAAATAATATAGTTTTTAACGTTAATATTTTATTTTAATGAAACAAATTAAATTACATTTTAAATTAATACTGGTCTATAAAAAATAGTAGTGCAAAGTATTAAAGATATATAAAATAATTGTATTATATACGGTATAGTCTCTTAATTTATAAGTTACAAAATAGGTACTAAACTAAAATTTATGAACCTATTAAAAACTTAAAACTATTACACTTAAACAATAAAAATTACAATAAATCCTATTTTATTAATTATATCTCTCATATTGGTTAGTGGTTAATGTGATTATAAAATTGAAATAATTTCATTATTTATATATTTGAATTAAAATGTAGTAATAATTTTATAACTTGTAAAAAACATCATAAACTTTCAAGTTTATAAAATTGATTGACTCACACCCCTTAAAATTAAATTTATAACTGATATCTATTTTTAGAGTACCTAATCATATAAAAGTATATTAAAACATTAGACAATACATTATTTTATCATAAATTTCTAATAATTATCTATCTTTTTATAAAATATAGTGTTAATAGTAAATAAATCTTTGCGCAAAGATAAAAGTTGATAATCATATTAATTAAAAAATATTAATATCAAATCAGATAACATATGATAAATTTGCAAAATAAATTCAACTTATTTATATTGGGTTAAAAATTAATAAAAATAATTTGTTTTAATCTATGAATTTCTACATATCTGAATATTATTCTGTGAATTCTAAGAATATTCTAAAATCTAATTGTTATAATTAGTGTCATATTTATTAATATTGTATAACTTTACAATATTAATGCTCAAAAATCTATTATCAAATAATTATAATTATATAACTTTTTCATATCAATGAAAATAAAATACTAGAATATTAGATAAGTAAACATTTTATAGTATTTAAAATTAATTAACTTAAAATCATAACTTATATATATTGCAACTTTAATTAAACAAATAAAGTGAAATACTATTGAAAATATATATTTGAAACAATTAAATATTAACTGTTATTAATACAAAACACAAATTAATATTATATTTATAGAACTTATTAACATTTTAATATCTTGTACTTAGTTATACAAGATATACAAACAACTATATTATCTTAATATTTGATTTTAATTATAAAAGTTACAAAAATTACAAATATAAGTTTGACCTGAATTTAATAATTTTAAATAGTTTAAATATAAGTTAACATTTGGTTAAAATTATTTTATAATATTAATATTACAACACATCTTATTTATTAAATTTATAAATATTTTAATCAATTTACTGTTTTTATTATATTTGTTTTGGTTTGTGATATTAAAAATTATAATTTAATAATATATGGAATTATGTAAATATTTTTAATTTTGGCAATATTTAATTAAAGTTATAACAAATTACATGCAATTGTCTCTATTTATAAACTATCTAAGAGTTAACAAAATTGAAACGAAGTTTGTTTTATGGACACCTTTTGTCTTAATCAATAAAATTGTTAATAATATAATCAAAAAATCATTAAAATAATGGGTGTCCGAGGGGTGGTGTTAGGGTGTAACCAACGTCATCAACATATTAATAGCACTTGTAATGTCAAAAGAGCTCTTTAATAAAATTTATACACAAAAAGCTAATGTCGATAATTTATAATTATTATAATAAATGATAAGTTAAGTTAAGATTTGTTTATTTATTCAATCTATATTAGTGTCAATGCTATTACATCCAGCATTCAAACCAAATTCAATTTTGTTTCATTAATGACTTGACTTAAAACAATAACAAAAGATCACATAATTAATAATTATTTTTAAATAAATTAAAATTTATGTACCGGTTTTAAAAGGTTAAAATAGCAAATGTTATTTTAAATAAATTACAAATTATTCATATATTTGGCATCAATTTTTAGGCAAACATGTATTAATACTTTATATGCATTACATATAATTAATACTTCCTTTTAATTGCAATTTTAATTGATTTTAAAGAGAGTATCACTACTTATAATTGATAAGTATTTCTAAATATGTTTAATATTTCCTTAAGAAACGGTAAATAAAATATTATAAAATATATGATTTGTTTAACTCACTTGAGATTTAATTACAATGATTTGTTAGGTATATATATATGTTATACCGATAATAGTAGACAAAATTAATTGATATATAAAGTGATATATTTATAATAATTATAATGTCTTACTAATGTTGTGGACAATGATGGAGCCGATTGACCCATAAGTGATGACCGGAATCGCACCAAATTGCATGTCTCACCTAATCGTATAATCATAATATATATGACATTATTATCGGTTAAGTGATATATCATTTGCAGATAACATACCTGAAGAGACAACATTACTGACAGATCCACTGTTTGATAGATTATGATAGTTGAGTGTCGATAGACTATCACGTCTTCGTCGAGAAATCTCAGTATTGGATAATTGTCTGCCAAATGAAGTTCGCGATCGATACCGATGTAAGGGATGACAAACATGCGATGTATGGCCACTGTGCGGGTCGTCCATCGTATCGGCCATCGAGCGACTCATATTAGTGTCGGTATGTGTTGTAATGTGTGATGTCTGGACACTAATCAATGGATCCAATCGATGGATGTCTTCATCCATTTTATATAATACATGTATTTATATATTGCAGACAATAGTGAACTCCAATACTGTATTATATACTGTATTATACACTGAGTTGACTCAAACCATAAACACTACCAAACATTGTGTCACTCATTGGCGTCAATACAACAACACATACAACGCATGACATAACACTAACTTCAATGACACGCCTCATACAACTCATATACTATCACTACATTTGATCCATATTTACACCAATTATGAGACCTTACTATCGTCCCATTGTCACCATTTGTCGACATATGTCTTCACAAGCAAAAGGTAATCATTTGAATGTGTTATTATTGATAACATTAACTGCAATGTATGCTTAATATCACTTTATAACCGATAGGATCGACTCCCAAGTCATCGACCGGTTCTACCAAATCTCAATCAACTACATCGACACCAACGGCCACATCGAGTGGTCAGATAGACGACGGCACGTATAAGTCTCCCGAATATTACGGTCATGATATCAATACTTTCTATGATCTGATGGTAACTCAGTCTAAATACAGACTCACACAACCATCAAATAAGTCGTGATTTAATAGATAATGCAATCAATTAAATGCCAATTAACTTATGTATAAACAATTGTAGATTTTATTCAATGATTTTACAATTCAAGTGACAAATTTCAATCCAAAGTGATATTAAAAAATAAAATATTTAGATATTTGTAAAATACAAATGACTTATTAGACTCAATATAGTAAATGTATATAAATATAATATACCGTAGAAATGATTACAAATAAAGACAATAAAACTTAGCATAAAAATAAAATTTATAATTATTTGTAGTAATTTGGTTATTGCCTTAATAAATACCATAAAAACAATTTTGGCATAAAATTGTTGATACAATTTAAGGCACTTATAAATCTCATAATAAGTATGTTTTAATTAAATTGTGCGCTTAATTCAAGCGCTGATACGTTTATCGTCTTCACCCGTAGTGAATGAACTGTAAAATGTCGGCTAAAATTAAAAATATATTATTAGCGGAAATTTGTTAAATAAATTTAACATTAAATGATTTTACTCTCTCATCGATGGTAAGGTCTTCAAGACTTCGAGTTAAATCGTCTTCAGTTCTATTTTGTCGAGTTTCGTCGTCCTCCGACTCTGAAGACTCATTTATGTCTACAGTTTTATTATCCATTTGCGGTAACTTAACAATACCAGCACTTTGTGTATTAGCGTTAACTTTATCGCTATAATTGTATGTATTATCTCTTATACTACTAGTTCTTTGTTTTCCCAATTTATCAAAACAACCGTTACAGACACGAACTGGTTTTGAGGACTGATTCGGTATAAGAAACTTGTTTTTCGAGCAGTGGCCACAAACAACATCACCACAACTACGACAATGATGCTGAATAGCAATTGATATATTATAAATGGTATCCAAAGATATAATTTTTTAAAAACATACCCTTCTGTTAATGACAGTAAACTGAGATTTTCTACAATGCATACAAAAAGTGGTCGCACTATCGGGTTTCTAGTGGTAATACAGTCATAATATTATAATAATTCAAAGCAAATCATATATCAAATCACAGTCTTACCCAAACCGCCGCGTGTTCAGACGCCGGACGATTACCAGCTTTCAAAATAAATCAAAACAACATTAATCCACTAATTTGTATTCATTTTCATGTGATTTACTTCTGTTGATGAGTTCTTCTACACATTTATTGATGTGTGCCATCCATTCAACTTTTTCAGTGCCTGTGGCTGCGTATACAGCAAATGATTTGGTCGGTGTCTTAATAAGCCAACCATACTTGAGATCTGATTGATCGCTCAATATTAATACATTTCAATTACGGTACTATAGATAATAAAGTGTATGTGACATACTGTCCTCATCGGGAAGATTCTCAAGTTTGACATTTTCCAGAGGAATAATGTGTTGACGATTGTATTTCTTCTTATTTATGATTATACTTCCGTAGACAAGAATATCATTGAAGAGGAATACCTGACGTGGTTTCAACTTTTTGCGACAACTTTTTGTTAAAATTCCTATTTGTAAGCAAACAATCATAATATTCATTATATTAAATAATAATATCAAATAATAACATATATATATGTTATACCCTCTCCTACGAGTACACGTCCAGGTATTGCCAAAGGCTATAAAAGTGATAATATTTATATAAAATGGTATAAATAAGTCATAATTAGTACACATATATCATATTAATATAAGTTAATTACAGTTAAATCTATAATAACTTCAATTTAATTAATTATTTACGTTAATATTTTTTTACAAGTATTGTATCAGTTTGTCATTAAGTTGAAGTCAAGTAATGAAATGATTAAATTAAAGATAATTAATGATTACCACTCCTGAGATGCCGAAGCAGTTCTCCACGTGTTGTATACGCCGAGCATTGGCCTCACTATTGACTATAATTAATGGTAACTATCATTAAATGGTTGTCTTATTTGGTCAATACTTATACTTATTATTAGTTATTATCAAATGTTAAAACAAATGTCATTTTAAATATCAATACCGAGTCTGTCAACCATTGAAGTGATAGTCTATGTTGTCAACTGTTGATGTGTTGATATGTAAAGTGAATCAAATTAGTGATAATTGAAGAGTTGATACAAACAGTTGTTTCATTGATTGTAATAATATTAGAGTTCATGTGTTTTGTTATAAAGCTATACATAAATGGCTTGTATTGAGTCATACATACACTCATACTATACGACAATCTAGTGTTTAGTCAATCAAATCAATGCATTAATCATTTAAAATACTCCCCTATTATGACAAACACTTTAACTATTGATTTAAATATTAACACATTTACTGATTATTATTATTATATAATCAATTTTACTGTTAATCTCACTATTCAATAGTGCTATCAAATGAAACAACATTTTATTAAAATATTCATTATTTCATAAACACTAACTTATAAAAAGTATGATTTAATTTTAAATTAGTTTATTTTATCGATACATATCAACATATATTAAAATTTATTATCAATTATTAAAAATATTTTTATAGTGATTTCATGATTATCATGTTTTTTAATGATATAATTATGAAAATTAAATAATCATATAGTTTTAACAATATAGATTAAAGGTAATTAATAAAACAACTTTTTATTTTTAAATAAAACTGGACTTTAATTTATCAATATATTTAATGTACAGTTACTGTAATTATGTTATTTTATTTGATGATAAAATGACGAATTTACTTTAAGACACTTATAATATGAAAATAATATTATAATAAATTAATTATCAAAATTTTGATAGAAATGATGAAATGTGAGAAAAATAATTATTTGGACTTTTTGGTTATAGTGCCAAACGCTGAGATCACTGTTGGCTTAGTGCCGGTCGCTGTGGTCACAGGTATGACAACTTGAGGTCGCATAAGAGTGATTGACTGAGTGGTCGACACATTACTCGGTAAATCCCATTTACTTTTCTTTTTGGTCGATTCATTGGTGTCACCCGTCGGTCCCTTTTTTGTACCCGACATGAACTCAACTTTAGTCCTCTCTTTTCTATCCTTTTCTCTCCTATCCATGTCTTCCTTCTGACGTTTAGCTAATTCTTCATAAAACGATTTCTCAGTCCAAATGTGTGGATTGTAAACATCGGGCGGATAATTAGTGGCCATTTCATCGATATCGCAGTACGCGATCAACTTCTCATAGATACTTGGATTTCGAAAGTCTTTACGTCTTTGAATAATAGTAGTCATATTTGATCCCATTTTCATCTTGTAGTGTAATCTTTCTATTTTTTCTTGTAATGATTTCGAGCACTTTTCTATCGGTTCCAATGGTATAACAATCTGGTCATCAGTTTTACCAAACAGTGATTTATGAAAAGTGATGGGAGAAGTGCACCGATCGTCGTCCAACTCTTGTGTCTGACATTTGTCTTCTTCATAGACATCATCTCTCATTTGTTCATCAAATGAATGTCTTTTATCCAATGAGTCTATTGATTGAAACATTGACGGAGAGTTAGTGCGGCTCTCGGCGGCCAAATCGGACACAATTGATGTAATATTGACTTTGTCTTCATTGCTATCTCTGTCCGATTCGTTGTCCTCAGAGTCTGAATAAATTGTTGTCAATGAAGACAATGCTGTCGATTGTTTCAAATGAGACGACATTTCCAACCAATTGATCACTTATTACAACATTTATTATAATATTGATTACAACAACACATTTGCAATAATTTATTCATAGATGGCATCACTTTCTATACACAAACTATTTATTGATTCAATACATTCAATGCATTATTAATATTATTATTTTATTAACATTTATCAGTTCACTACTACTGTATCTAACATTACATATATTACTGTACGGTATATACTGTATGGTAAACATTGTACACATTATAGACCAGGCGATATCACGATTATTATACGGTCCCTTACTTAAAAACATAATTACTGACCAAGATAAAAAACAAAAAAATTATAATACACAAATTTAATAACCTTTTTTATATAATATTAAATAAAATATACCACTTAATTAAAATTAATATGTAACAGTGTATTTGAGCTAGATGAAATATATTATAATAAACCATAAGCTTCGACAATGCATTTTAATCAAAAGTAATCAGAAATCACTTGAATGATAACCAGTGTTATAGACTCTATTTAATACATAATAATAATAATTATAAGTTTAAATATTCAATAGATTTAAGTATATTTAATATTATTGTATTAAATCCTTAAAATGATTTAATAATTGAAATATTATGGATTACAAACTTAAACCAATTTTACAAACCAAACCCGAAACACAAAAACATTAATCTAAAAATAAAATTATCAAGTTAGTTTTTTGTGGTTAATTTCCCATTTCATATAATTAATGTTGGTATTATTATAAAGATTTTTAAAAATCTATAAATTTAGATTTTATTTATATTGTAACGGACCAAAAAACAAATAATTATATTTTGCAACAAATATAGAAAACAAATAATACAAAAATAATAGTCTAAAATAAATTTTTAAATTACATTTACATTTTCTATAAATTTTTATAAACTGTATATCCAATAATTTTTTATTGATAAATAATTAGATAATCTTTTAAAATTTATAAAAATAAAGGAATTTTATTTATTTATAATTATATTTCACAAAAATGTATAATGGTCAATTTGACTATTTTATCATTCGGTAATCAAAAGTGTATTTATTATAAATTTTTATAGTTTTAATTAAGTATGTAATACTAATTTTGGTTTCAATTAAAATGATATTAAATAATAACAAAATCGTTTAACAAAGTAATAATAAAATTAATAACTTTGATCTCTAAAAATATTTGTGTGAATCGACACTATCTTTGCTAATATTGTGATTTTGTAATATAAAGTATGAAAAATGTATAGAAATATAAAAAATTATTGTATTAATGGTATACTCTATTGATAGCTAACATAATATTAATTGATATAAATATACAGACATTCATTTTTCAAATTTTATTTTATTTGATAAATATAAATATTATTTATATATTTCATAAATTGTTTTGTTTGTTATTTCATAGTCAGCTAATATTAAATAATTTGTTAATAATTATAAATCTGTTACAAATGTAAATTTAGATATCGTATCCAATAACTTATATGTCATATCAAGTGATAAAAAGATTATTGATTGTTAAGCTTCAAAATGTGATTATAAAATGTTGATTAAATCCAACAAATGTATTATATGTTTATTATAAAACTACCAGTGCTTTACTAACAGTGATTAATATCAAATGTGACATTAATTGAAGTAATTATAATGAAAGTAATATATGTATTATTAGAACAAATAAATATTTAAACCTAAAGTTGGTTTGACATCAAGTACTGTATAATGTTTCTGCTTATCATTAATATCATTGAAACTATTAAATATATAATATATTAATATAATTATTAATAGTATTTATGTATTTTGTTGTTCTGTTATGTAAGACATAAATGAAAAAGTAATTTAACTTTTTGTATGTTTGCTTAAAATCAAATAAATCCAGTTGAGAATGCTAGAAATCATTTCCATACCAACTCCATATCCATAGTAAATATTAAATTAAAATCAAATGACTGTATGACAAAATAAACTCAACTTTAGTCATATTGGTATAAAATCACAGAAATTATTATACTTTAAATTTTAACTTAAATTTAAAAAGTATTAATTCAATCTTCATTTTTCTGTTGTTGATGTTATAAGAATTTGTATAATAATCGCATATAACTTATTTTTGATGCTTTATTCAAATCTAAAATTAAACATTAAATTAAAAATTGGTGTATTTTGGCCGCCATTTTGTTTCTAAAATTATAAAAATTTTAATACTAATCCTCTAAACCTTATTTTTGATGTTTTATCCAAATTTATACTTTCAAAAGTTTTTTACTTTGGCCGCCATTTTCTCTATGTTTCTGATGAAATCACAATTTTAATGCTGATTTCCTATACATTACTTTTGATGATTAATCCAAATCTGAAGTAAAAATTTGAAAATTAAATAAAATGGACGGAAATAAACAATACGTATACGTATTACGTACTCCTTTGAGGAGTTCGTGAAAACTCTAGTTTTTATAGAGACCAACACTAATGAAATACAATTAAATTTAGTTTACTTTTACGGCTCAATAACTTCAACATAAACTAAAGGCTTAAGGTTTGTCTCTAATATATATATCACATGATATTCACATCACATTTAATTTGTAGTCTTTTCAATCGTAATAACATTTATTTTAGTCAACTCTCAAGTTTCTCAATAGTAATAATTTAAACAAATATTACAGTATATTGTATACTATTATTATATTTAAGTCAAAAATTTCACATTTAGTTTTTTAAAATTAATTTTTGTCAATTTATTTAAAATTAATTATTTGTAATTCAAGTAAATTATATAATGTTTGTATATAATTATATAAGTATTTGTATCAATATTTTTCTATATTGTATATATCATTTAACTTATTCATAATTTTTAGGTATTTTAATTGTTAATTGCAACATATAATACAAATTATTAAAATTTAAGTTGAATTAATAAATAACAGATATTTGTTTAAATAATGCTTAATATTATCATAATTTATATAAACAATAAAATAAACAGATATTAATATAATACATATAATTGATTATAGATTTGGTAAATAGAAAACAATTACACTTTTTAATTACAATTTTGTACACTTCTGGGCAAAAGTTAATGGTATAATATTTTTTAAAATAGTAATATTAATAGTAATATTCAAAATTACATAATATAGTTGATAAATATAATTACAAATTTTTTCATCTATATATCTTTCTAAATGCTATTATAATATATATATATATATATATAATAATAATAATAGTTATGTTATCGGTAAATGTGTCCACTTTACTATACCTATCCCGCGGATCTTCTAATGAATTTTACCGCAAATAATTGAGATTTGTTAAAATATGTTTAAAATAATATATTATATCTATTAACATGTGTTGATTACTGCAACAAATTAATTTAATTAATGACTAATTAATCGATAAATGAAAACAAAAACGTCATATAAGTAAATGATATACAAATGTATATATCATTACATTTATAGTGATAAATGAAGACAAATATGTCAACAAAAGATGAAAAGATCTATAAATAACTATTATATAAATAAACGGATTTTAATTGTAATTTAAATTTTATTTTTTAATAATTAAATACTAGTTATAAACCAATGTAATAACAATTAAATTATAGATATTTACATTTAAAATATTTTGGGTTTTCAATTATTTTTGTTTTTATACGACTCAGAAATGTTGACATTTTATAAATTAAAATATCTTTTTTTGATGAATTGAATCAAAATGATATATTTTTCGTTTTATTTTTGTTTTGATTTATATATCTTTATTAAACTTTGCAAGTATTTTGTGAAAAACTCAATATTACAAACTCAATAAAACTCAAAAAAATTGTTTTCTTACATTTTGTAAAAACATTTTTGTATTTTATTGTTTGTATATTTAACTTAATATTTATTTAAGCAACTTTAATATAAAAAATATTATATTTTTATTATATATTAATTATATAATTGCTTTAATAGATATTAAATTGTTAAAAATTTAATTATTTAGATTTAAAATTTTGATGAATTCATATCACAAAATTAAGTTTGTATATTATAGTATTTAATTATAACTATTAGTATAATATATTAATAAATTTATAAAAACAATTTATAATATTTATGTACTATATGAATTTTGAATTTTTTTATTTTAGCTAAATGTATAGTAAGATTTTATTATTATATTATATTTATGCTTACAATATATCTATTAAAATTAAACAATTGAATATGATATAGTAAATAAAATTTTGAATTTTTTATAACACTAAAGATATCATAATACAGTATTTTTATATAATGTGGTCAAATTTGGTCAATTGTGTCAAATCTATATTGTATTGATAATTTCGGATCATTTGCTTGATATAGTGTAATATAGATTACTTATATTAAATTCAATTCAATGATTTATGACATATTACGACAGTTATAGAAAAAATTTTGAAATTAAGACAAATTTGATTCATTTTTTGTCAAACAAATGACATTTTTATTTTCACTATATTTATAACTCATATACTGTACCGTATATACAGCATAATATACAATATTATGTATAGTGAATATACAAAAATATTTAATCATTAATATGATTTATGCAATATATTACAGTATAAGATACATATATAGATTTAAAGTTGAATTAATAATAAGATTTAATCAAACTTAAGTAAATTCAATGATTTAGTATAAGTATTATTGAATTTTTTAAAATTGAATTTTTAAAAGTAAGCAAACATTTCAATCTTTTTTATGAGTTTTGAAATCTTTGAGACCATTAGTTGCATTCAAACATTTTGGTAAAAACATCAAATTTATAAATTTATTTGTCATATATTTTGGTAATCATTTCAAAGTTAACATTTGTAAAGTAAGTGATATTTAGCTAAAGATGGGCAAATAGAAAGTTTCTAGAAAATTTCTCATGAATAAATTTCTATAGAAATTTAACTTTATTGTTATACTATGGGATCTCCATATCTATAGCTATTGTAATACTATATTAATGAGACATAATACTATAAATTTACATATAATATTTATACTAATAATAATCAGTTTTGTAAAATTTTATTCATCATTTTATTATATCATAGTTTAATATAATTGACTTAATAATTAATTTTACTTTAATTAAAAATTAAAATACTAATAATAATAATTAATTATTACTTGTAAAAACAATGTTAAAGATAACAAATATCGAGAGAACAAAATTAACCATGGGGATACCATAAATAGAAATTTGTATTTTTTGCCAACACTATATTTAGCTGATTTTGTTATTATTTAAAGTGCATTTGTGTATAATTTATTTAAACTGAATTACAAACTAAGATATTTTTATTAATTTGTAAATCATATAATGTTATATAGTTTTTAATTAATATTTGAAATACTGCATAAACTAATAGACTGTAAATTATATTACTTATTATGTATAACACTGATTCAAACGGAGTACAAACAGGTATATGAATTTATTTTCTATTTTGCGATATTTTATGAATTTTCACTTTGGATTCACATATTTGTTAAGTATTAATGTCTTTGGAACCAATACTCTATATCTTTAAAAATATCAACAAAATGGTGGAAAAGTTTTAGAAAATTTGTTTATAACATAAATTTCAAGACATTTGATACATATATACAATAATTATTGAAACATTTCTAAACTAAATTTTAAATTATAAATAAAATATTTGTTGCAAAAATTATATTATTATAAAATTAAATTAAAATCAATAAATAAGATACATACACAATTTATTATTAGTTAATTACAAAATTATAATTTATGTTGTTAATAAATTTTGATTACTACTAAATGAAAAATAAATCACAATTAACTTGTTTTAAGATAATAAATAAAACAATTTAATAATAAATATTTTATATAACGAATATTTATACAATAATATAATAATTAAAAATATTATTTTTATTAAAACCTTTTTATTTAATTAATATTAATTTTATTTATAATAATAAACTTTGTTTAGTTATTTTCTAAATTATTTTTTCTTGACATGTAATTGTTAATAATATCTCCAAATATCTCATATTTTTTATGTGACACTTATTATAGCCATTAATGTGGATAAATATCATAGTCTTATAATTTTCTTCTTAGATAATACTTTCATAAATTACAAATAATAATATATTAAGCAATATTATTATATTATAAATCAATTGTTTTTATTTTTATAGAATTTAGAAGATATTTAATAAGAATATAACAAATTTATATATTTAAAATTTTTATTTTTAATTTAATATGATGACTTTTTATAATCATAAATGATACAATACTGTATATAAGAATAACAAAAATTATAATTTTAAGATTATTAATTTGTAATATTTATTAGCATTTACATAAATTAACAATAATAATAAATTAGTTATAGTAGTAATAGTAATAAAAATTGAGAAATTGTCAATTGATAATCAATCAGTTGATAAGAATCTAAATTTGTAAAAATTTGGTCCCAAAATAGTTATAAACTATTAACAAGATTTAAATATCAATAGTTGAGCTCATGTTTGATGTAATTGATGACAAATTTTGTTACATTAGTTGATAGTCAGTTGAACTTTTAGTAAATCAGGTTTAAGAGCAAATCGCTGTAAACCTACCAAACATTGATTGGCGGCAAACACTTAATCACTTAATTAGTGAAATAAATTTAATTATATTATTTATCCATTAATATAAATGTGTTAATAGTTATAATAAACAACTTAATCTTTATTAACTTTGAAGTCCTTATTAGCTTAGAATTGGTTAATAAATAAATTTCTTGATAATTAAAAAAATTATATCTTAAAAACAATAAAAGTATATTTATTACTTTAATCGGTATTCATTGTTTAATATTAATGATAAACAATCATTATATAATAATTACATTTTTTCATTTTCTTTTGATAATCAAAATTCAATTATTTATATTAATTAATAGATTTGAGCACTTGTTTCAAAAACAATCATTTTGTAAAAAATTTGATGTGTATTATAATGTATTACAATATATAAGGATTTTTGTATATAATTAATAACAAAAGATGTGCCCATCATTTAAATAATTATCAATATTATTATCGTTATTATTATTATTTAAATGTAAGCTTAATGTGAAAATCAATATGCAATGAATATGTATGAATAATACAATAATGATAATATTAATGTATAAGAAATGCACTGCAATTATGGTAGTGATGGTTGTAATGGATATAATTTTTGTAATGTTTGTAATGTTTGTAATGGTTGTAATGGTTGTAATGGTTGTAATGGTTGTAATGGTTGTAATGATACTAAATTAGAGATATTCAACGATATCACATCTGACAGTCACGTGAGGACATGAAGAGCCAGTTCTTAATATGTTTTGTTCATTGTTGCGGTTAAGGTATGGAAATAATCTAATAAAAGTGCTTTCAATGTTTAGGGCACTCCTGTCATAATTGGAACCGGCATTTGGTGTCACATTCAGTGCATCGACCGATGCCTTCGACAGGAATGACACCGATTCGCCGATATTAGTCTGTAGTCCTCCTAAACTATGGGCTCTTCTTCTTATATTACGATTCATCAATTGAAGGCCTATAACATAATATAACATAACATAACATATAAGTTAATGTTTAAGTATTAAAGATATACTGTATAAATAGACATTGATATCATATATAGTATAAAAGTGTATATATATATATATATATATATATATATATAGAAGTATGTAATGTATTGTGTCATTTGATTGTAACAGTGATGTACAGTAATGTAAAGTCATATTATTGAATGTATTGTATGTGTTGTGGACAGACCTTTTTGTTGGCTCTGTTCGTAGTGATAGTTGTCTTCATCATCATAGGAGGAGAAGTCATTATTGTTATATTTATGAGATGTCAATCTGATTGCTTTGGCATAAGAGGTGTCTTCTGACTCAAGAGCAGTCAAGTCTCTAGAATTGGACTCAATTTGTATATACTGTTCCTCTACACTAACGGCAGATAAAAAGTCTGATTGTTTATAACTAATACTACTATTAACTGAGCTCTCAGTGCTCTTATCGCTGTTGTTTTGTGATGTATTGCTTGAGAACTTGATTCGAGTATTATTGCTATTAGTCTGTTGTTTGTCTATTAGAGACAGAGCTCGAAGTGATAGTAACTCAGATGAGCTCTGCTTTACTTCACAGACATTCATAACTTTATCAACTCTTTGCTCAATCATTTGATGACATGATTTTGGTTGAGGTAAAGGCATCTTATGGTCTAATACTACATTTGGCGACAAAGAAATTGAAGACGAGGCCGAAACTGACGTCACTTTAATGCTGTCGGGTATAAAATAGACATCAAATGAGCAAAAATATACATAAATATACATAAATAGGTATAAAAAGACATAAACACCAAAATCATTTCAATTGCTTTCAAAAGTCATATTTTATAGTTTATTACTTTAGGAAAATTATTTATTTTTTATATTTTTAAATTTTATTTATACCTATCATAATGACTCCATTTTTGGCATTCCTTATCATTTTGTTTGTCTTCACATAACTGTTTATCCTTATCGATAATAATAACATTTTCGAGACCTATATCGACATTAGTGACAATACTACCGATGAGTTGTGTATCAGCTTTGGTAATAACGAGTGACGATTCCTCTAATCCCCGAAAGCGAAACGTAAGGGCTTCTAACTCATAGGCTTTCTAATGTATACATTATATAACCATATATTAAATACTTTTAATAGTGTGAAACTTGTAGAGACATTACTTCTTTAAGTCGTTGTCTAAATCTGAAGTTATCTTCAGTGACCGCTTTGATTCTGTGGTGAACTTCCATTTCGTCAGAATCTCGACGAGACTTCTTAAATGGCTTAAGAGTAGCCCTCACTCTTCTGTCACCAGCCATTGGATTTCTTTTGAGTTCAATTAACTGTAAAGAAAAATCAATAGAAAAAGTGAAGGAAAGGAAGAGTAGTAGATGTTGAAAGATGGACAGACAGATGGACAAACAGACACATAGACGTCAGGCCCTACCAGTCTCACCTTAGGGACGAACACCAAACACAAGGTGGCTGTCGAACAAAATATGATGAAAATAGATATTATAACAAAAGCGGCGTCTTGTTGGTCACGTAATACAAATGATAGACCGGCGCCGATAACGCACATTATCACAACGTTATAGACACTCATTCCGATATATTTAGAGTCATTAAGTGCTGGTATACTAACATGCCTGGTCTCCCAGGCCAAAAATATGCCAAATGCCTAAAATTCAATTATAACATAACAGTGAATATCAGTTTAAATATAAATCCATGAATTTGATAAATATTGAAACAAATATTGAAAAAGCTTTCAATTGTTGGCTAACCATTAATAAACCTTTGTATACATATATTGATCCCAAAAATATAGTCATTCTCTTGCTTTGGCAGTACTCCATCTCAGGGATTACCCAAATATCCTCGTTTTGTGGCGATTGCTATCAATACAGTTTGAATTATATGTGTTTTTATTGCATTTTATTGTAAATTTTGATAAACTACGATATTTTATCTACTATTTTGCAGAATAAGTTAATAATAATACTGTATAGTAGTAATCTAATTTAGTTATGAATGGCTATCATTAAATAATTATATTAAACCTTTTAGTTAGTGATTGATAAAAAGTTTTTAATTGATTTATCTTTTTTGTATTAATTCATTGGTTTTATTATAATCATATAATTCTAATTACAAAAACAACTTTTATTATCTATTACTATTTGATAATAAATTATATTAAATTTATATAAGATTATATATATATATATAAATTTGACTGAATACTGTATTATACAGTATAATATTCTATGATATCAATATCGATATTATATTTATTTATAGCGGAAATTTTATAGAAGTATTAAAACTTATATTTATTGATAAATGATACAGTATAAATTCAATATCAAATGTAATGCAAAATTTATGTAAGAATTTGTAATTCAAATTTGATAACAAAATCTAGACTTTATATACTGATATATAGTATATACTGTATTATATACTGTACTATATAATACTGTATGATAGTGTAAGTGTTATAGTCTATAACTTATAGATTGTATCAATAATATGATAGTATGGATACCTCTGCCGTTCCGTTTTGGGTGACTCTATAAAATGGATCGACTATTTGCCAAGTGGTTAGTGTGGCCACATCTATGAAAACCAATACACCGACCACCATAAACAATTTGTAATCTTTAATCAACTATATTGACAATATATTATTATATCAAATTAATTATAATTCAACTTTATAAGTACCAAACAAAATTATAAGTGCTTACTAATAGATTGAGATTAATATATAAATTAATAATTAATTAATAATTTCTAATAAAAACTTTTTATAAATACAATTATGTTGTAAAATATTATGATACATTGTATATAACGTTAAATATAAATTAAGAAGTAAATTACATTTTTTAATAACATAATTTTTAAATTAATTTAATAACACATATAATCAAACTTGATTTCATATTGCAAAATTTATATATGACATTCTAAAAATTATTATTTTATACTATAAGTCTAATTTAATTTTTTATAAGTGTTAAAAATATAATAGTTAAAATGTTAATAACAAATAATTAAATTTTGTAAATAAAGAAATATTATGAGATTTTAATAAGATTTTTATAATTAAATTAAAAATACAAACTTTTTTATTGAGTTTAATATTTGTAAAGATTGCGTGTACTCTCCATGTTTTACTAAACATACTATATTTGAAAAATAGTAATAATATTTGTGTTATAAATAATATTTAAAAAGTTAAATAAATATATATTTTTTAATACCTTCCAAATGCAAGTGTAAAGCCAGACATTAAAACCCACGCTCGCGCCTAAACATCATATATTTTATTAGAAATAAAATAACACAAATATTCAATATTAATGTTGAAAAATGAGAATATTTAATATATATATTTTTATATAAAAGATAGTACAAAATAACATTAAAATTTGTATACTTACAGCACAAATATATGGAAAAATTGATTCATTAGTTAGGTTACTGTCTAATCCAAGTAATATAACACTCGTATAGGTGAGAATGCATCCGATTATTATAAGATTATTCAAATAAGGACTCGACATCTTTATGTATCTGTAAATATAAATTTATATTTTGTCATATCTTTAATTATATTATGATAAATGTGCACATTTTCTTAATAAGAATAATATATAGCTTTTATATTAAAATTTATTTAATAACGTAGAAACTAATGTCTTTTTTTAGAAAAATTTATATCACAGCCAATACTTTCCTTTTTTATTAACAAAAAAGTATCGACTTTTATGTAATAAATTTTATTTTGCAAAATGAAACAATTTTAAATTTAATGTGCATTTTGATAAAAATGTTGTATATATATATGCATGCAAAAAGCGTGTTTTACATAACACATTTATGTTTTTAGTCCATAAATTTGAAGAAAATCTATAAATTTAAGTCAAATATAAAAGAAGAATACATATAAATATACACATATAGTATACCGGTATCTAAATAAAGAAAGAGAGAAATATTTTCAAGTGGTATTCAAAACAAATATAATGTTGAGATAACAATGAATTTATGATAAGCCCTTTGTATTAAAAAGGCGTCTCTAATGTGTTTTAAATTTAAACAAAATCCAAAACAATTATTTGTATTGTTTTGTAATGCAATGCAAAGCTCTAAATAAGATGTATATAAGAACTGCTTTTAAATATCATATAATATACATGTAATAAATGACAACAAAATATAAATAATTATTATTAAAACAATTGTAATTTACTTTTAAATAATGTTTATGAAATTTATAGGACATAAACAATAAAGTATTATATACTCAAATTTGATTTCTTTATTTCCAATATATTTCAAACTGTCTTAACATAAATTGTCAAAAGCATGAAACCATAGGCTTATAGAAGTGAATCACTGGAAATGCTATTTTGAGACTCATTTTATTTATGAAGCAAAATGTTTGAACTTATAAAAAGAGATAGAGATGTAACAGCACTGAGAATTGTGACAAAAGTGTTACTAATGTTGAGTAACATTACTTTACTCTATACTACTATATCTCTATAGTTGTACTCATTTTGTTTGGCTTATGACAAGAAAAGCAGAAATTCATTAAATTAATGCAATGATATAGACATATAAAACACATTTCTAGTCATACTCTATATATGTGACGGTGTATTACATTTTTAAAGTTAAAATATAATGAGAAAACTGCTAACATTTAGCATAAATCAATGCTAAATACAAATGAAATCAACAATAAAATAGCTTTTATTATAGTATTTAACAGCAAAACATACTTATTATGTTTTGTATTTAAATTACTGAAAACTGCAAATAATGAAATATACAACATTAAATTTAACGTTATATTAAATTAATGTTATATAAAAGAGGATTAACTTTTTATAATGCTTACTAATTCTTAATCCAGTCAACTATAAAATAAAAATATTTAAAATGTTGTTATATTTAAAAATTTAGAAAACATATTCATCTTTCAAACTAAAAGTTATCACTAAATTTTAACTTTTTAATATTTTATCAACTTTTTGATATTATATACCAATGTAGTGTATTATATAATTTATATAAAGTATACTTCATTCATATTATAATCTTTAATTATAGTAAACATAATATATTTAAATTTTTAAAATAATATTTTTAATATTTAATATTATTGCACTGTAGCTATAACTTATATCTCCTTTTTAAAATAAAAACAAAATAATCTTTTATACAAATTAAATTTTTTATATATGTTTAGTTATGAAATTGATTAATGCATTATATTGTAAATATATCGGTATAATAAAACAATACTGTAATTAATCAATAATAATATGACTTAATGTAATAAGACTTCATTCAGCTAAGACGTCCAGATATTTACTTTAAACTTCTTATTGAAAATTTATTTTAAAAACATTGCATTTTGTCTATATATTGTATATAAGATTACAATTGAGAATTTTATTTTATTTATTATATGGATTTTAAAAAAAGATATTATAATAAAAATAACTTACCGTTGATTTCTATATTTAATATTCATGGCGAGGAAGACTCCGGCCAACACTATACCCATTATAGCCAACACTGAGATTATAATAAATAATGTAATACTGATTCTGGACGGCGATAATGTAAATGTTGTGCTGTCTCGAGGAGGCGTCAAACTCCCTAAACAGTGAATCAAAATTTTTAAATAAATTATAAGTATATTCATATCAAAACATATTTTATATAACTGAAAGCTTAATTAATTAGTACAGTAGACATAATTATAATTAAACATTAAATATACATTTTTAAGACACACAGCACTTTAATTAAATTGATTAACATTATTTTAAACATCAAATTTATATTCCAATTTAATGAAATATATAAATAAAATTTGAATCAATTTTGATCATTAAAGTTGATGATACAAATATATTTGATTTAATTGACTATAAATGGTTAAATATTTTGAATTAGATATTTTGATTTGGATATTATGAGTTTGGATATAATAGTAATCAAATGTGTTAAAAATATTTTATAGTTACTAATACAAAATCAATCAATTTCAATGCAAAACATTAGATGAAACCCATCTCGAAATCTATAGTTATGTTAATAAAGCTTTAAATGTTTGTCACAGTATATCATTTGAGACTTATTTCATTAACAAAACAATATATGATATAAATAAAGATTGAAAGCAATTCCCTAATAAAAAAAATGTTCGCTTAAAGCAAACTCATAACCATTACATTACAATACTATTCAGTATATAAAGTACTACTGTATGTATGTGTTGTATATGTTTTATATATAATTTGTCTTTTTCTTATAAAAATCAAATATATTAGACATAAAAATAATATTCTTTATATACCTTTACTGGATTAATAAAACATCATATTTATAGTAAGTAGTATATAAAATAGTCTATAATGTAATATCATACATTTTTAAAGTAAATTTTAAAAATAAGTTATAAGATATAGAAAATGCATTTTCATTTAACTGATATATTCAAAGAAATAAAGATTTTTATTCAATGATTTTACATTAAAAAGAGCAAACTTTGAAAAGGAGTAGTTTTATAACTTATTTATTTTACATTAAATTAAACTCAAATAATTTTTAAATTTTAAAGTATAAATTTAAATTATCGATAAACCTTTTATATTATACAGTATTTATATTTACAGTATATAAAATAAATACTGTAAATTACTAATTGCCAATACAAAATTAATAGCACCTTAAAGGACACTTCATTGCAAAGATAGTACATAACTTACAATAATTGTTAGTTAATTTAAATTATAATTAATTATTTTTATAGCATTTGTTTATTTAATTCATTGATGAATTCAACATAATGGGAATGTTTATAATAAAATACTAGTCTTATTGTTTGTCAAATAAATATTTTTTAAAATTAATGATTTGAATTTGCATAATGTTATGTAATGAATTGACAATTTCAATATTCAAATATTTGATTTTTAAATGTCAAATGTCTAAAGAGTTAAAATAAAGAAAAAAGCAAAACATGTTGATAGATAATGGACAACATTTATTGATTTAATATTTAAAATAAACTAAACTATTGTATATTTGATACTAAAAGTTCTAACTAAATAATTTTTACATACATAAGAAACTAATTTTAATAAAGAGACAATATTTAACATTATATTTAAATATTAACATTCTATTGTTAATTATACTATACAATAGTATGAGAAAAATAATGACCTACAAGTTTAGAGAGCACAGGTAGCAAAATATTTAACTAAAAAAGACTATTTTTTGACAAAAATCTGTTTTCAACATTGAGTGTCACAAAACAAAATAAATCCATTTCCGCGAAGATTTCAATTTTTCGACAAATCATTTCATGAAATTTCTTGTCGAGTAAACCATTATTTATGGGTTTTTGCATTACATTTGTCTCTCAAAACTTTTTTAGACAAAATAAAATATACATTGAATTGATTGTAAAACGTTTGAGTGAATGCCATTTAAATGAAATCCATTTGTGTAAAAGTATGTAAAATAAAACACATTTTTATATTTTCATTTATTTTACTGCACTTATTAAATAATTATTATTAGCTAGTTTATATTTTATAATATTAAAGTTATTGTTTTTAACATTTTTATAATATTATTGTACTATTTACTATATATATATATATATATATATAACGTCATAATATTTACGATATATACAAATATAAATAAATAATCTGTAGATTAAAAATTTAATAATAATAATAATATTAAATACCTCTCCAAGAAATTGGCGAATCTTTAAATTCAAGTGATTCACTATATGATAAATATTCGCCAATTTTGTGCTCAGTATGGCCTAAATTTTTAGAAAAAATAAGTTATTCAAATTCAGTTCATAAATCATTATTAAATTATTTTTATACACAAACCTTGAAATTGTTTGAGAAGTATAACACCGCGGCGTTCATTCTTATCAAACGAGACCCGACCCTAAAGATTATGACAAAACATTTCTATATTAAAGTCACTTTCATTAAACATTTGTAAAATTTATTTTCAAAGATTATAAAAAGTTTCATAAGTTTTTGTAAAAATTTCTATTATTAAATATAATAAAATATTCTAATAAGCAATGTATTAAATTAGAAATTTTATTTTAGTTGTTTTACTCTAAAATATTAAAACTATAAATATCACAAATTGATATTTATAACTTCTTACTTATTAATACACACTATGTCTTAATATATTTTTTTACTGCGATAAACATTTTGCATAAAAATCAATTATATATAATCTACTAATAATATTAAATAAACATTACTAATCATATCATGCTTGTAGTTAGCTTATATAACATTTAGTTAAAAATTAAATAAATAATATAATTACTATATATCTTAATTATTTCATGTCTTGATTTATTAATAACTAATTTATTATAATTAAGTAATTTAAATCATAAGTTTATCATAAGTTATTTATTAATTTATTCTCGAGTATAACTCAAATATTTTATTGTAATAACATATTAAAAATATTATGCTTTTAGTTTGTTATATTTTTATAATTTATTTAATCTAATTAAATTCAAGACCTTAATTGCAAAATATTTCAAAATAAAATATTTTTAATAAGAGCTTATATATACTGTTAATATAATATAAATTATATATCAAAGAATACGTATATTAAGATTATAAATATGACAACTAATTATTTAAAAAACTTCTTTTGTAATGTGTTTATATAAAAAAAGTAATTTATATAATACAAAGTGCATTATATTATATATTATTTGATGCAAAAGTAATATTAAAATAATAAAGACGATGTCATACAGTGACGCCATTGAATTGTGTTTCATTAAGAGCTTCTCTAAAGAGTTGAGCCCAAAATGGTTCTCTATATGTAAAGTCTTTAAGAGTAAGTCCAGACTTCATTGATTTGAGTTTTTCGTGAACCGATCGGATGGCCAAAGCTATGGCCCAAATGCCGTCGTAGGCGTACCCATGATATCGACTGTACTCTTGTTTTCTCATTCGCGAGTATTCGGCTTCATATTCATAGGTTGTCTGAAAGTTATACCAATTTTTATTAAATATTCTTTGTTTTTATATAAATAAATAATTTTATATTAAATAATAATAATAATAATAATTAATAGAAATAAAAATAAGTGAAACAAATTAGTTATACATTTAGACAGTCGTAAAAATGATTAGATAACACACATTTTAAATTGTAATACACATTTGAAACATAAAATATGACATAAATTTTTAGTAACATATCATACGAGTCCAAAGTCAGTAGTTTGAGAGCTCGTCAACGGAAGAACATCAGTGGAGATATAGCCATCCAATGCTGTCATCAGCTCTTTCTCACTGCAGTCCAAGTGATGGACATTTTGCCACCACTTATCCTCATAAAGACCCGAAACAATCCATTGGTATCGACGACCATATAGACCATCCCTATAAGCCTTTATGTTATGCAAACAATTTATAAGTTGACATTTTCATTATTGCTAACATAAAACAAATAGCAAATTATAAGCAAATAATATATATATATAAATTTTATATATAATTATTTACTTATCATTAATTAAGTTTTTATCAAACAAAAATTGTAAATAATTTTTTGATTAATGTTATTTTAACTAAATATTAGATTATTCTATTATTTAATGTTCAAATAAATTATTACTAATGTTTATTATCATTTTATTTAAAATACATTAGATTTATTTATTATTATTATTAAATCTCAAATAGTCTAAATATTTTATAATAATAATGAAATGCTATATTGATTTTTTATAATAAATACATTTATAGATTTTACCAAAAATAATTAATTGTTATTAACAAAATAATGACGTAATTTAGAGCATTAGTCTTATCAAAATATGTGTCTAGATTTAAAAATTATTAAATGTTAGAAATCAATTTCAAATAATTTAATGTTAAAAACAATCAAAATTTTTGACTTTATAAACAAATATAACCCCAAAATCAATAGAGTTTCATAAAATCTTTCAATAATATCTGTTTGATATTTTTTAAAAAAGTAATGTCATATATCATATATTTAAAATAAATATCGGCTTATGTTTTTAAAAAATGATATATTACATCAAAACTATATTATATATAATATATATAAATTACTATTTAGCAAATTATAAAATATAAGTAAAAAAATTAAAAATTATAGTTTTAAACTAAAAAACTGTTAAAATTTAATAGTTTTTATAATCTGGTGGTAAATACAGTAATAAACTATTAACATTTATATTGTTTATTAAAATAATTCTTATTTTTGTATGTCATATAAATATATATATATATATATATATATAGTATATAATAATAATATTACAGAATTATACAGTAATACATAAAAATATAAAAAACAAAAGTTAATGTATTATTATTGGTAAAAATAAGTAATTTTTAAAATCTGTCGACTATTTATATTATCCATTAATTATAATATATGTCAATAATTTTCATGTATTTAATAATATGCTGCATGTGTTTACACAAGTATTATAATATGCAATGTGTAAGTAATAATCTAATTTAATGCTATATAGACTTTTGTATTAGTCGTCAGTGATATCAATTATATTTAATGTCATATTTTTCTATATTTCTCTTTATTTTATATTTTTGATAAAATTGTACAAAAATATATATATAAATAATCTCACATTTTTTAAATATTTTATATATATTGTGTATAAATTGTTAATATTACAAACACCGGGCCTTATAAAACTGATAGCTTCGAGCAATTTTCCAGTTATTTTGTTCTCTCTTTATGTTATTTTGTATTTTCTTTTATATAATATGATGTAAATAAAATTCCTAGTTTTTCACAATTTTAACTTTAAAAATTTAAAGTTATAAAAACTTATAGTTGATACTTGACATAAAATATGACATTTTTAAATATTTGGCATTATTGCAAACTCTATTGTATAATATTGCATTTAATAGATGATAGTAACAAGTTCATATTATTAAATATTATTTATAATTGCAAACAACTATTTTCTAATATAATATTAATAATTAAAATTAAATAAAAAAAAATAATTATTCATAATTTTTTTCCAAAGTTAAACTAAAATGCAATAAAATTATTTTGAGTAAACAAAACAAAAAATTTATATAAAAAATACTGTATAATGTAAATATAGAGTATTAAAAATACTGTATTATAGATAATAAAAAATTAATGATTATTTATTTTGAATTACTATATTATATGTTCAATATAAGACTATTTACTAACATTAATGTTTTTTTTTTATTAAGATTAGATGTGCAAAAAATAATTTCTAAAATTAGAATTATCTATAAATTTTAAAATAAATTGACTATACTATGAGATTATTTTTGTTAATTTTGATATTATAGATTATCATTATTTATTATTATTATTATTAAATGTTGAAAAAATGTTTGTATTTGTTTTAAATTTCTTGCTTAAATTTTCTTAAATTGCTTTAAATGTAAATTTAATTATATAATAAATATTTTATAAAAAATAATATTAAAAATTAATAATGTAGATGCCGTTTAAACCAAGATTTTTCGAGAATTTTGTAAATTTTACCCCGGTCTACCCCCCCCCCTAAAATCCAAAACCTTGCTTAATCCTGATATATATATATGAAAATAAATGTTTTATTATTAAAACTTGAAAAATATATATCTGAGAGATAAAATTTTGTGTAGATTTGTAAAATACTTTGAATAATTATCATTTTATTAAAATTAAACTCTGAAATCACTTTCTCTAATTATATTTATTGTTTACACCAACAAAAAATAATTAAAGTAATAGAAATGATGTTTTAAGTATTTTTCACAAACAAAACAAAAATTTATTTTAATGTCGTTTACATTTTATAAAATACATCTTTGTTTGCTTATAACATCTTATATAATCTCTAATCACTAATAATAGATAAAATAAAACACAAGATTACCTATAATTTATAGGCTATAAATTTAATGCCATTAATATTTTTATTTGACACTTAATAAATTGATATTATGTGAGTCATTAAAGTAATAGTCAGTTAGTAATTGTGTCAAACCTGACAAAATATTTTTTGTCCCCACTCTTCACCAAAATTTCCTAAAATGATACGGACGTCGTTGATCTGAAAATGATTGAAATAAATAAATATTTATTTATATATATATATATTAAAATTAGTATATTGGTTAATGTATTGTAATTAAAAAATAACCTTAAATTTTTGTAAATAGTTATCTGGTTTGAGTTCATCTGCAATGCTCTGTGAGGAGACTATATCGATGTTAGCTCTGTCCAGATCTGCCAATAATTTGCTGTGCGGCTGAAAACGGATATTAAAACACTTTGATTTACTATAACTTTACTCAATATTATATATATCAATACAAATTCAATGGTTTTTAAACGATTTACAATACACTCTAATAATAGTGAAGCTTTTGACTACAATTACAACAAAACTACAATTATGTTGTTTTTATGTGGAAATGTATTTCTCTTTATAGGAGGTATAACTTTATATTAAGTTATATATATAATATATTATATTATATTATGAATTATATGTTGAAACTATCATTTGATTGCGTGTCCGCGCTTAAGATATTGATGATTGTGTGCAAAAAACGATAGTAAAATATATTGTATTTACAGTATAATAAATGTTAGTGTGTATTATATATTTATATAGTTTGTAATACTATGTATAATATACAGAATAATACTGTATATAATACGACATAAACTTGATATTGAAAGAGATTGTAAATAAAATGTATATCAAAGTTAAATAAATGTATAAAATAAAGGCAAATAACACTCACGAGACTATATTGAGGAGAGTTTTGATAGATTGTCCCAACTCTTGTCCAATTGAAGTGCTTTAGTAGTGAAACTCGAGCTTTAAATTCAAATATCTTATTATTTATCTATTTATTTGCATTTCAACAAAAACTATATCGTCTTGTATTTAAAAGATACTAATTTTTGAAATTATTTAAACAAAATGTTATAAATACCCGGATTAAAGGCCGCTTCACTCGGAACGATACGAAAAAAGTTTGGCGTCAATGCTGTGAATTTGTCCGCATATGTCAACTGAAAATAATAATTATTATTATTTTCTCATTAATCCTTTATATAATTAATTAAAACACTGTTATTATAAAAAATACTTAATTTTAACTTAAAACAATTTTTCACATTTATATAATTAAACATTACGTAAATTTAAATAAAATGAGTTTATAGCAAATTATTTTAATTTCCAAAACAATTACTACTTCTCTGATGTGTAATTAATTTAGCTAATGATACAGTATTTTATTTATAATACATTAAATCTAAATTGATTTTTAAGTGTATAATAATTTACTATTAATTATATTGTTATACATTATATATATATATATTATTGATATTTATTTTAGAGAACTAGAAAAAATAACAATATAAATAATTTACCTGGATTAAATTGAAAAACTTTGATGCTTTAGCAATGGGATCGGTGACAACAGGACAGGCATCTCCAAAGAGCAATACTTTAATGGGCGGGAAGTATAGCATATTGAAGAACTCCTTCATTCCCTGAGCTGCATCACACTGTCCACACAATCAATATTTTACATTAATTAATCAAATGTTACACAATCACTATAATTATAACAATTAATGCCACTAATTACAGATATAATCTCATATAATAAGTTGAATAACAAACTCTGTTAAAATTTTCCAAATAATAATTTATAAATTGAAAATAATAGATTTATTGTATTTTCAAAAATTTTATAATTAATTATTAATAAATTATGCGTTTAAATATGTCTTCTCAATATATATATAGTATTATATAGTATACATGTACAAGTATTATGTAGTGTATAATAGGTATATAAATTTATAACTTTGTAGATAAAATAATGCAAAATGTTTTAGTTTTATATATTGGCATTAGTTTAGGCTTTAAATATAAGTTGAAAGTGTTGTAACTTTTTGTTAATACAGTAATAATCTGATAGAAGAATGATTGTAATGGTTTTTGTTGGAAAAAAGCATTCATTAGAAAAGTAAAGTAAAGTTAGTCCTAATATTCTTATGTTTCAAATAAATGTGTTGTTTGTGAGTTGCAAAAAGCAAACAGTAATACAAATAATATAAAATCCGATTGTTTTGAATCAAACTATTGGATAGAAAAAGAAATTGCTAATAATAAAAATAATAATAAAACTAAAGGTTTACTCAATTTTATAGCAAAAATAATGCTATAATTAAATTATGACTAATAAATAATTAATGAATTATATCTATTTATATATATAATTTAGATTTACCTAAATATAATGCTATATAACGTTTATAGCAATTTGTATGTGTTATGTATTTAGTTAGACAGCGTCGGCTAAATTGCTTTGCAATATTGGTTAGCCTGAAGTGAAACGGCTATAAAACATAAGAGAGACGGCAACCCAATGAATGCCCCAATTATTGGTGCACTCAATGCACAAACAAATCGATTGTTTGCTCTTTTATGTGCTTCTCATATAATAACATAAAATCCCAACTTTTGTGTTATGTGTTGCCATTGCTAACAACAAAACTATAAGTCTCAACAATTTTCCGCTTCAAAAGACCACTCCATGTCTCATATCATACACTAATTCAACTCAAAAATTATATTATTTTACTTTCTAGATATAAAGCATCTAATAATAAGTAATATATAGTTGTTTTATCATAAATATTATTGATTTTTCTATAACACCACATAATATCTATAAAATATTTATTATTTAAAAAATATTTGATGTATTTTAAAACAATAAAAGGTCACATATAAAAACAAATTATAATTTAGTAAATTAGCAATATTACATTAATCTAGAGATAGGAAAATAGAAAGTTTTTAGAAAATTTCTCAGGAATTTAACTCTATTGTTATACTATGGGATCCCCATATCTATAGCTATTGTAATACTATATTAATGAGACATAATACATATGTACTACATATACAGTATTACATTACTATACAAAATGGAATACCTATATATAAAATAATTATAATTATTTAATAATAATTAGTTTTGTAAAAGTTTATTTATTATTTTATTATATATATCATAGTTTAATATAATTAAATTAATTATTTTTTACTTTAATTAATAATTAAAATACTACTAATAATATTTAATTATTACGTGTAAAACAATGTATTGTTACAAGATAACAAATATCTAGAGAACAAAATTAACATGGGGATCCCATAGATAGAAATTTATTTAAGAAACTTTTTAAAAATTTCTCTATTATTTTATAAATTAATTTTTTTGCCAACACTAGATTCATCACATTTATTAAATTTATCAAATTTGCAAAACTAATTGACTATCATTTGCTTATTACAACATTATATGCTATTATTTCTTATACTAATATAACTAAAATAAATTATTATTTATCATTATATTTACTAAAAAATTATACAAAAACGTAAATTTATTTTAATATTTAATAAATACTAATTTGTTTAGCCATTGTTTAAAGCAATTTATGGTGTCTGTCGTAAAAAACAATCAAAATAACTGCATATATATCACTCTCCCAGTTATTATATAGATATAAAGTATAACAAATGTTTTATTATCAATATATAACATAAAAATGTTTAAATGAAAAACAAAAGTCATTGGATGACATTTAACAAATAATAGCAAACATAAAATTTAAAGTAATTTCTAATTAACCAAATGTACATACATATTTTAAATTATAGTAATTAAATTAACAAATATACTATATATCTATAATTTAGGATAAATATTTCTTATTATATTATTATAGAATCAAATAATAGAAAATATGCTGAAAATGTTAATATTAATTTATTAAAAGATAATTGAAATAATTAAATGTCATTTATTTTTAAAATATTTTTATTTTTAAGAGTAAAATATTAGATACTATAAAAATAGTAAGTCTAGAATTTCAACTATTTTGAACCAATTAAACAAATTTTGATAATAGATTTTCATAAAGGAAATGAGTGGTTAATGTAACAGTTGTAAGATATACTCTAATTATAATAAAGTGCAATAAAGTAATATAAAATAGTTGTGAACTAAATATAGGATATTTAATTGAGTGAGAGTTTGCATAATAGAAATGGCAATCAAGTATTGCAAGAGTTGTGCACAAAAAACCCAACAAAACAGCGGTAGTGTATAATAACAATAAATGAATGACTCAAATGAAATGTCTCTACTTTTTTGACATTACGGTTGTGTAATAAAAATGAGTGCAATAGTCACTGATAAATCTCATATCACGTATCTATGACTTGATATTGTTTCAAAAAAACCTGAGTATAGTTACATAGTATGGGTTATAATCATGTGATGACCCAACTGTTTACTGTTTCATAAGTCACAGAAAAGTTGTGTTACTTTTAGATTATATGTTTAACGTCTAAATGCTATCTTCTTCACAGTAACTGTTATTCTCAGGTCAAACACAAGACATCTCTTTATATGTTATCCGGTTATCGACCCAAACACTACTATCACTGTCTAATAGTGCCAATACATGGCTTATATATTACGGTCAAGTAATATAAATCACTATTTATGTTAACGATTCATTCACTTTCTTAAAACACTATTCCCTGAATAAGAAATGCTTCAAATTCTTTATATACAAAAAAGGAATATTCTTTTAATACAAAATCAATTTTTTTGAATTACAAGTCATTGTATTCCATCTCTCTCTCTCTCTCTCTCTCTCTCTCTCTCTCTCTCTCTCTCACTCACTCACTCACTCACTCACTCACTCACTCACTCACTCACTCACTCACTCACTCACTCACTCACTCACTCACTCACTCACTCACTCACACACACATTTACTCACTCTTTAATCAATATAATAAGTAATAGATATGAATTGCACTGTTTGTACAAAACATAGTATTTTGGCGTAATATTAAACTATTAATCAATGCTATCAATTATCGTATTGTTTGCCTATAGTATATTCAATTGCATCAAACATTTCAAATTTTATTTCTTTCTTATTCTCTAATTTATCTTAAATTCATATAATGTTGCAATCAATTGAAGTCATTTGTATAACATTTTCTACTGGTTTAATCAATATTTTAATATAAATACTTTTTTGTCATAAATTAAATGCATTTCAAACAATATATTAAATAACATAAATAAAAGTTTTAAAATTATATTTGTTTTTTATATTTTTTATAGATTGACAAATAAATTAATAAAAAAAACTATAGAATTAGAAAATGAGATCTATATATATTTTAATTATAATATGATACTTTATTATTAAACACAACACAAAATATGAAATCTCAAAAATACAAATTAATGCAATTAAAAAACGATAGGTTTAGCTAAACATTTATCTATAACTAATTCATTATTAGTAATACATGTATAAATGTAATGTATATACTATGTATAAGTATAATTTGCAAATTTATAATAAAAAATATATAAACAAAAGAATTTTATAAATAAATATATCTTTTTCCATAAACTTTTTAGAGATTTCCTATTTTTAAAGATTTTTTTGTCTATTTTTAATTAATTATACATTTGAGTTACAACTATATTTCCAAATTCTAAGTTTTAAAAATTCTACTTATAGTACATTTAAACATATTTTTAACATTGATTGTAAAAATTTTAGATTTAAGAACTTTAATCAACAAATTTTAAATAAATTTTAATTTCAAATACAATATTAATATACATGGATATATTATATTCTGGTACAATAATGCATAATAAATTAATAAAAAATATAATGTATACAAAATACAGTAAATATTAATATAATAATAATATATTACACATATTATTAAATATGCTACTTTTTAATATAACATAATTATTAAATAGTAATAATTTTTTAAATAGTTTTAGGTTAACAATACAGTCATATTTAAAAAACAAGTATTGTTGATGAAAATGTCAAATAGATTCAAAAAACAATATTTATTTTAATAACGTATTAATTATATATTATTCAAAAAATAATATGTTATCAAAAAAACCAATTGCTTAGTCAACAAGCAATTAAAAATCTTATTTTGCAAAATACTTGGTTTCAAATGTTATACTCTAAGACTTCAATGTTATTTAACTCAAACTGATGTTTTAAGAGAAGTTTTAAATTTTAATAAAAATAAAAGTAATATTAATTCTATAATACCTAATAAATTAATCAAATTATGTCCAGAAATTTTTAGTAAAATATTTTTTATACTTTATAAAAAAATTTTATTTTATAAAAATATTCCAAAAAAATTAAATACAGTATCTGTTATACCTTTACATAAAAATAATAAACCTAAAAATCAATTAACATCTTATAGACAAATAACTGTTGAAAATAATATATTAAAAATATTTATGAAATTAATTTTTAACAACATATCATCTCATTTATATAAATATAATTTATTACCTAGATCACAATATGGATTTAGAAAAGGTTTTAATACAATGTATCAAATCATTGATTTGTTTTATTATATTACTAACAATTTAAATAATAACGAAATTTTATGTATTGAT